CTATCTGAGAGATAAGACTCACCCCACTGGAGTGTGGTTCCTGAGATGCCCTTTGCCAATAGGGTTGACAGGAGGACCTGGTGGTTAACCGTGTCAAAAGCAGCGGCGGGATCCAGCAAGATAAGTATTGAAGATTTGGAATCCGCTCTTGCCAGTCTTAGGGCTACAACAACTGAGAGCAAGGCAGTCTCGGTTGAATGTCCACTCCTGAAACCAGACTGGTTGCTGTCGAGGAGGTTGTTCTGTGTGGGAAAGGCAGAGACTTGGTTGAACACAATGCATTCAAGTGTTTTTGCAATGAGAGGCTTTTACATATATTTATATTCTTTTATTTATTTATATTTTTTGTATTTATAGGCTACTATGTTAAAAGGAGATATGAGGAAAAAAAGTAGCATGGAAACTTTTCTGAAGAATATCAGTTCCCTTTAGCGATGCATATAGACTCCAAATGAATGTTTATATTATTCTTCCAGTATACAGTTGTGGCCAAAAGTTTTGAGAATGACACAATAATTTTAATAAAGTCTGCTGCCTCAGTTTTTATGATGGCAATTTGCATATACTCCAGAATGTTATGAAGAGTGATCAGATGAATTGCAATTAATTGCAAAGTCCCTCTTCGCCATGAAAATTAACTTAATCCCAAAAAAACGTTTCCACTGTATCACAGCCTTGCCACAAAAGAACCAGCTGACATGATGTCAGTGATTCTCTCATTAACACAGGTGCGGAGTGTTGATGAGGACAAGGCTAGAGATCACTCTGTCATGCTGATTGGGTTAGAATAACAGACTGTAAGCTTTAAAAGGAGGGTGGTGCTTGAAATCATTGTTCTTCGAGTGATCAGATGAATTGCAATTAATTGCAAAGTCCCTCTTCGCCATGAAAATTAACTTAATCCCAAAAAAACGTTTCCACTGTATCACAGCCTTGCCACAAAAGAACCAGCTGACATGATGTCAGTGATTCTCTCATTAACACAGGTGCGAGTGTTGATGAGGACAAGGCTAGAGATCACTCTGTCATGCTGATTGGGTTAGAATAACAGACTGTAAGCTTTAAAAGGAGGGTGGTGCTTGAAATCATTGTTCTTCCTCTGTTAATTATGGTTCAATCACAGCAGGGCCCATTAGTGCAGGAGCCAGAGCAGATGAGGGAAAGGGTGAAGGTGTCAGTACCCCTGTTTGACAGGGTAGCAAATGCAGTGGTGAATGTTTGTTCGACAGTATGTGCTAGTTGTTATCTATAGATCATTCAAGTCTTAAGCTTAGGCTATTTAATTAATTTTTATAATGATGTCAAATTTACAAGCTATGTACTTTGGCAGTGGTAACATGAAATACTAATACTATTTTTGTGTTTTTCTAGGCAATGGTTCTTGCAACCATTGCAGAACATTCGCCCCCCTTATCTGCAGCTCCTGTCATTGTTGAGCTTGCCCAAACACTGGCTCTAGATAAACCAGCATTGGGGGTCATGAAGTTATCCCGGACTGCTGCCTCATACAAGATGGTCCAGGGCCTGGGGCACACCTTCTCAGAACGGATATTTGAGAGCACCAGGACAAGCCTGTTCTCTGTCAACTTAAATGAGAGCACATCTAACTCAAATAAGAAAGTGCTTTCAAATCTAGTGAGCTACTTCAGTCAAGAGCTTAAGCATGTGGTGGTGGAACACCTTGGCTCCATTGAGGTTCTCAAGGGGAATGCTGAACATTTGGAAACTGCCCTAGTGACCTTTTTCACTGAACACAAAATCCCATTTGGCAACATGGTCAGCATGATGATGGACTCCTGTACTGTAATGCGAGGGAGCAAGTCTGGGCTGGAGAGCCGAATAAGAGAAAAGTACTGCAAGAACCTCCTGGATGTTGATGGAGATTCTTGCCACCACATCCACAATGCTGCAAAACAGTTTGGTGTGCCCTTTGGCCACCACCTCAAGCAGCTCTTCACTGACCTCCATACAGACCACAAGTGGGCTTCAGACCAGGTAATTTTCATAGATATTGTGAAATATATGCACCAGAAATTTACTCATGGCATAATGGCAAATAGGCTTAAAGAGTAACCTACTTTTTGCCAATTTCAGGTTAATTACCTAGAGATCTGTGAGTTTATGGGCATTCCAGGAAGATTTCAGGGCCAAAATGCTGCCACTCCACGAGCTCTATATCGGGCCAGTGGCTGAAAAAATGAAGGCAGAAAATCCACATCATCCAGTGAGTAAATTCACTGAAAATGCCAAATCAAACATTTGCCAAATTATTTAATTTATAATAAATTTTCATGTTTTCCAGAGTGTGCTGCAGTTTTTAGAAACCGTGAAGACTGCATACCGTACCACAGCTGCCTATATGCAAAAGAAGCTGCCACTGAACAGCAAGACTCTGCAGTCTCTGTCTGCTTTGGACCCACTGGTGAGGGGCCACTCAGTAACTGGAATTCTTCTGAAGCGGTTGGCATGCCCTCTGGACCCAATCCCCTCACACCTTCTCCAAGCAATCTCTCCTACACTTTTACCACCACTCACACATATCATCAACACATCTCTCCTCACAGCCACTTTCCCCACTTTATTCAAATCTTTGAAACTGGCTTGGTGTGTCCCGGCCTTTAGGAAGTAAGTCCCGTTCACACCAAGGACGATAACTATAAAGATAACGTTAAAGATATAGTTCTAAAAATAGTTCTCAATATTAAAGAACAGCAAGAGTCCACACCACAACTATAACGTTAAAGGCACAGAGAAACAATATGGAATCACTTTCAGAACTATTTTTTCCCAGCTGATGAACAATACAAACACTGATACCCATTCAGAAACAATCCTGCTATATCGAGCTCGAGAATTTAAAGCGGCAGACAAACGTGTGCTAAACTGATGATATCATTTGCTGGTGTGGACGCTAATTAAAAATAGTTCTCAATATTAAAGAACAGCAAGAGTCCACACCACAACTATAACGTTAAAGGCACAGAGAAACAATATGGAATCACTTTCAGAACTATTTTTTCCCAGCTGATGAACAATACAAACACTGATACCCATTCAGAAACAATCCTGCTATATCGAGCTCGAGAATTTAAAGTGGCAGACAAACGTGTGCTAAACTGATGATATCATTCGCTGGTGTGGACGCTAATATCGTTATCTTTATAGTTATCGTTCTTGGTGTGAACAGAGCTTTAGTCCTGTCCTTTTTCAGTCTTGGTACCAGGGGTCTTCTTCTTGCCTTTTAAAAGGTGTCTGCAATTGACTTAGCATCCTTTCATTTAATGTTCATTCAAGCTTATCGTAATCCATTTCTGTACTAGCATAATTCTAACTCTTAGACAAGAAATTGAAAACATGTTTACCTGGGCATTCTTTAACTAAAAATTAATCAAATGCTGCAATATAATTTTTTATACAGTTTTCTTTTATTCATAACTTTCCATTTACAATGTGGCATTTAACAGAAGATGGAAGTTTATTCATCTAATACAGAGATGGGCAACTTTGGTCTTGGAGGTTCCACTGTCCAGCAGAGTTTAGCCCCAACCCTAATCAAACACACCTGCCTGTAGCTTTCTAGTGATCTTGAAGTCAATCAAGTCAAGTCACCTTTATTTATATACGCTTTTAGCAATACAGATTGTGTCAAAGCAGCTTTACAGTATTAAATAGAAAAATAGTGTATCAATAATGCAAAAGGACAACAGTAAACTCAGTAGGATACTCTTGTAATAAAGTAGCGGTGGCTGGGACAGATTTTAAGTATCAATTATGTTTAAAAAGATGCAATCTAATCCTGTTTATATGAAATAAGCAGGATTAATCTTACGGACCTGTTGCTATAACAGCAACTCCTGGATGAGCTTTGTAGAACAAAATAATCCAAGATCAAGTGAAAATAATCAACAATGAAATCCAGTTAAGCCCAAGACACACTGAATAATTTTAGCAATCCTAGAAGATCATTGCATGTCACAATGTAAGGCTTCTCTCCGGTGTGAACTCTCATGTGAATGTGAAGGTTTCCTTTAACTGTAAAACCTTTTCCACACTCTTGGCAGGTGAAAGGCTTCTCTCCAGTGTGAACTTTGATGTGATTCTCAAGGTTTGATTTGGTTTTACAAGTCTTTCCACAGAAATAACACATGAAAGGCTTATCCCCGATGTGAATTACTACATGCTTCTTAAGGAGATTACTATCTGTGAAACTCTTTCCACACTCATGACATGTTAAACTGTTCTCTCTTAAATGAATCCTCATGTGGTAATTAAGTGTTTCTTTACGTCCAAAACTCTTTCCACACTGGTCACAAACGAACGGCTTCTCACCGGTGTGAATTTTCATGTGCGTATTAAGATTGCCCTTTCGTGAGAAGCCATTCCCACACACTTTGCAGCTGTAAGGGCTCTCTCCAGTGTGAACTCTCATGTGGGAATCAAGGGTTTCTTTACGTATGAAACTCTTTCCACACTGTTCACATGTGAATGGCTGCTCTCCGGTGTGAATTCTCATGTGAGTCTTCAGATTTCCTTTATGTGAGAAGCTCTTCCCACACAACTTGCAGGTGAACGGAGTTTCTCCAGTGTGATCTCTCATGTGGGCATTAAGGGTTGCTTTATACTTGAAACATGTTCCACACTGAGCACACATGAATGGCTTCTCTTCATTGTGAATCTTCATGTGATTCTTGTGGCTTACTTTATGAACGAAACGCTTTCCACAGTGATGGCATGAGTAAGGCTTCTCTCCAGAGTGAACTCTCATGTGAGTATTGAGGTTTTTTTTGAATCGGAAAATCCTTCCACACTGATGACATCTAAAATGGGTCTCTTCCGAGTGGACCCTCGTGTGGGAATTAAGGATTTCCTTACATCTGAAACTCTTTCCACACTGACCACATACAAATGGCTTCTCTCCAGTGTGAATTGTCATGTGAATCTTAAGACTTTCTTTTCGCGAGAAGCTCCTCCCACACAGTTTACAGGTGAAAGGCTTCTCTCCAGTGTGACTTCTAATGTGGACTTTAAGGTTTGCTTTTTGAGTGAAACGTTTTCCACACTGTGGGCAGATGAAAGAACATTTAGATTTGGTCATCTTAGTCTTTTTTCGTGAGGAAATCTTTTCAGTCTGCGTGGATTTTTCTCCAGTCATGAAATTATGTGTCTGGTCTTTCTCTTCCATTTCTTTCAGTTCTTCACTCTCCTCTTTGGGTGCCATCAGGTCTAAAGTGAAACAAGGCGTACACATTTTTTAGACATTACATAGACCCAAAGCAACATATATGAAAACCATCATAAAACATCAAAATCAACATGACTGCTCAATCCTAAGAAGTCTTTCAGAACTTTAAGAACCTAGTGCTATTAGATCTTTTGACAGCAACGATCACAACACCTGTCACCTATCCGATCGCTACCAACTTGTGTTAATTAAGAGTACGGAGTGCATCAGGGCTCTGTATTAGGTCCACTTATTAACATACATTTTTTAATGATATGGCAATGATTCTGAGTCTTACGTTTTCTCACAATCTGAAAAAAAAAACTGCAGAACTCTTTAAGCAGTAATCAGCAATGAATTTGATATTAATTGCTAGAGATCAGAGTATGTGAGCAGAGTGGAGTGGCAACAATTTTCCAAGCGTTCAATAATCACTCCGCCTCGGGTTTACCATTTCCCGCTCCTCACTGAATTGATCAGAAACACTGCTCTGCCTTCGCTCCATGACGATAATTGCTTACATATATTACAAAGTTCTGTTCAGAACTAACTTATATTAAACGAAAAATAAATACACAATACTAGAATAATAGTTTTAACTTGGTTTATTGGAACACTACAAAAAGTCTATATTAAATGAATGTTTATCTCACTTGCCAATGCTGCGTCTCTCGACTATGGCGAAGCTGAGGGCTGTAGTTACTTCAGAAACAGAAATAATATGCTGTAACTTTCACATTTGTAAGCTGATAAATCACAAGACAGCGTTGATAATTTTCTGCAATCCTGAATGTTTCCATGTGTACGCGATCTGTACGTTATGTGCGAGCTTGTGTGTTGTGTGTGTGCAGCAATGTAGCAGGCAGCACATTAGTTTAGAGCGGATATTAACTACCTGTACAATAAACTGTTTAAACTGTGAATTCACCCAATCAATATTGATTATCCACATGCTACAAACAAGCTTGAGATATAACCTCCCACAATCATCCATCACCTTAATTATAACCTTCACCTTCTTTCTGATTTGCGTGACCCACATATCTGTCAAGCCAGTTAATGATGTTTAACTGCAAAAAATGCAGTTATTTTATAGATTGTTGTAGGGCTGGGCGATAAATCAATAACAATAATTAACGTGATATAATTTTAAAATGATAAAACGATATGAACAGTTCGATAAAGTTTATGTGCCAAAAGCGGAACGAAACTCGGATCCGCTCGGATCAAGGTTTAAACGGCAGCGCAGCACGAGCTCACTAGAGCAGATGAGTCTTGGTCACACGACACTAAACAGCACTGTGAGATCCAGTGTGAAGCGCTTGAATTCAGCGAACAATGTCGAATTTTACTATATTATTAATGTAGACATGAATTAAGTGTATTAAAGGAGTAATGGAATATAATTACTATATTTTTTGTGATTAAGCTGTAGCATGTGTGCAATTATACGGAATGTCTTTAGACTACTGTTTTTTAATACAAATACCTAAAAACCATACAGAATTGAGGTGCTATATCTGTGTGGTTTTAACTGTGATTATCATAATTTAAATGTATGCTACTATGGAAGACCAATGATTATTTAAAAAATTACAATAATTACATTTCACCATATAAAAATGAGGTTGCTTCAATTTTTTACAGATGTTAGCCTACTGATTTTAATAATGAACAAAATCGGCATCTGCATCCTAACTCAAGCTACTACTACAATCAAATGTGCATTTCTAAGAGAGAAAAAAGTAATATTATTAGTAATATTATCAGGCAACACAAACATGTTTCTTGATTTGAAACAATACCACTCATTAGAACATGTAGAAACTTAAAAAAAAAAAAAAAAAATTCTATTAAGATATTTAGTCTATCTTAAGGAAAATTAACAGTTTGGTTTCAAGAACTTTCACTTTGGAGCAAAAATCTTGCTTTAAACTTGAAAGAGAAAAAAGATTTGACATTTATCTTGATAATTATTGGTATCGACTGATATGAAAAAAATTGTGATAATTTTGGCCATATCGCCCAGCCCTAGGCTGTTGGCATTAATTATGCGTGTGATGAAGCGGTAGTGGAGAGCTCTCGGAGCGAGTGAAAACCACCACACACCAACTTTCAAAAAATCCACTCCTCGCTTTAGTCAAAAATGACCACTCCACTCACATACTCTACTAGAGATGCTCCGTTTGCCAATTTCTTGGCCGATTCTGATTTCTGATTTTTTGTAAGCGTGATCTGCCGATGTCGATTTCTGCTGATTCCTATTTTCTTTCTAAGAACTATAATTAACAGCAAATACAAACAAAAATTTACTTTTTTTTTTGTTCAATGAAAAAAAAATGATTTACATAGTAACATAAATGATTAAACATTACAATTCCCCCAATCTGGAAGCAGCTGAGTGACGGTGATGAGCCTGGATCTATCAAAAATAATTAACTTACCTACAAATTATGCTTTTAATATGATCCGAACTTTAAAAGTATATTAAAACAGAAACAATACAAAGTTCTTTTGTATTGAAATGTTGTGACTAAATCATGTTTAATTATAATTTCCCCAGATAATTGTTTTATATCAGGCTCTGCGCTTTGACTGTACATGTACTCAATACTTGGTAGGGGCTCCTTTTGCTTTAATTACAGCCTCAATTCGGCGTGGCATGGAGGTGACCAGTTTGTGGCACTGCTGAGGTGGTATGGAAGTCCAGGTTTCTTTGACAGTGGCCTTCAGCTCATCTGCATTTTTTGGTCTCTTGTTTCTCATTTTCCTCTTGACAATACCAGATTCTCTATGGGGTTCAGGTCTGGTGAGTTTGCTGGCCAGTCAACTTTTGGTGCTTTTGGCAGTGTGGGCAGGTGCCAAATCCTGCTGGAAAATGAAATCAGAATCTTCAAAAAGCTGGTCAGCAGAAAGAAGCATGAAGTGCTCCAAAATTTCCTGGTAAACGGGTGCAGTGACGTTGGTCTTCAAAAAGCACAATGGACCAACACCAGATGACATTGCACCCCAAATCATCACAGACTGTGGAAACTTAACACTGGACTTCAAGCAACTTGGGCTATGAGCTTCTCCACCCTTCCTCCAGACTCTAGGACCTTGGTTTCCAAATGAAATACAAAACTTGCTCTCATCTGAAAAGAGGACTTTGGACCACTGGGCAACAGTCCAGTTCTTCTTCTCCTTAGCCCAGGTAAGACGCCTCTGACGTTGTCTGTGGTTCAGGAGTGGCTTAACAAGAGGAATATGACAACTGTAGCCAAATTCCTTGACATGTCTGTGTGTGGTGGCTCTTGATGCCTTGACCCCAGCCTCAGTCCATTCTTTGTGAAGTTCACTCAAATTCTTGAATTGATTTTGCTTGACAATCCTCATAAGGCTGCGGTTCTCTCGGTTGTTTGGGCATCTCTTTCTTCCACACTTTTTCCTTCCACTCAACTTTCTGTTAACATGCTTGGATACAGCACTCTGTGAACAGCCAGCTTCTTTGGCAATGAATGTTTGTGGCTTACCCTCCTTGTGAAGGGTGTCAATGCTGATCTGACAGTTGTCCAGAAGACAATCAGTCTTCCCCATGATTGTGTAGCCTAGTGAACCAAACTGAGAGACCATTTTGAAGGCTCAGGAAACCTTTGCAGGTGTTTTGAGTTGATTAGCTGATTGGCATGTCACCATATTCTAATTTGTTGAGATAGTGAATTGGTGGGTTTTTGTTAAATGTGAGCCAAAATCATCACAATTTAAAGAACCAAAGACTTAAACTACTTCAGTCTGTGTGCATTGAATTTATTTAATACACGAGTTTCACAATTTGAGTTGAATTACTGAAATAAATGAACTTTTCCACGACATTCTAATTTATTGAGATGCACCTGTATATATATATATATATATATATGGGCTGGGTATCGATTCAGATATCTCGATTTGATTCTTGATTTTTTTTATTACATTCAGTGAATATAGTTTTAATACAAATGCTGATATTTCTAAAAAATGAACAGTAATAAATTAAGAGCCACGGGCCTGTATTTTAAACTTTTTTTTTTTTTTTGTAGTGCAAGGTCCTTTTTTAAAACAATAATAGGGCCCAATAAAATGTTTTTCTTAATTTTTCTGGTAATCAGATGAAGGCATAAAACATTAATTTAATGTATCCTAATGAAATGAAAATTAAACCCTTTTTATTTTTTGCCAAACAAAGTGCTGCACAACAGAAGTTTACTGTTAAAATTAAAAAGTAGTAGTGGTAGTAGTAGTAGTAGTATTGTTGTTACATTGAGTCTTAAAGGGGTCATCGGATGCAAAATTCACTTTTGTTGTTGTTTGAACATAAATGTGTGTTGGAAGTGTGTGTACACATCCATCCTATAATGATAAAAATCCACCCAGGGTTTTTTTTTTTAAATCCCTATTTTAAAATCCCCTTCTCAAATCAGGCTGTTCTGAGATTCCTGTCAGAATGACGTAGTTCTGCACAGGCCGCTCCCACGATAGTTGATTGACACTAGCGTCTTACCTTAGACCCGCCCTGAGTGAGCTGTCATCAGTCCGCCATTGTGTGGACTCCGGTGCAGAGAGGGGCGGGGTGAGCAGAGCTCATTAGCATTTAAAGCAACATGGAATAAAACAGCTTGCTGAAAACAGAGCTGTTTTTGACAGGGTAAAAAGGGTGTTTTTTTACACTACCATTGAGAAATTTTAACCAAAGTATGTTATAGACTTTTCATTAAGACCCTAAAGAATCATATCAACTTGTGGAAAATGGGCATCCGATGACCTCTTTAAGACTAAATAGTAATATATTTCTGACACAGTTTCTTCATATTTATTTTTAGTACTTTTATTTTGACGGGTTGCTGTGAAGAACTTGCAACTGCTGTGTATGTGATGTGACAGTAATTTTCTTCAAATAAACAGTAAAATGTTAATGAAATGACTCTCAGAGCAGCTGGAGATGATATTCGTGTGTTCATATCGTCATATAGTGAGACGACAGAAGCTGAAAACACCGCGAGCGTCATTCGTGCTTTAGTAAACAAAACAGTGTGTGCGTGATGTCGAATGCTTCCGCAGATTTGTAGTATTACTGAAGCATTTCACCTGAGCATTGCAAATCGCGCATGTTGCTTTGTTCTTGGTTCTTGTCAACAGTATCTCCGCCATGATAAGCACTGAATGAATGACAGGCTTTCTGTTGTAACATCACACAAGGTAAACAAGAAGGTGACATCTAGTGGAGAAGATTAATGATAAGGTGCGACGCAAGTGCTTTTTGCTAGTTTCAGCCCAACGCAGTTGTAATTTTCACATCTTGCGCCACGTTGTATAAATAGCTAATGCATTTGTGCCCATTTGTGCGCCCAACGAGATGTTTTCAGGCGCATTGCTGGCGCGTTGCTATTTTGAGGCAACTGAAATAGACTGCGCCATTGACCAACAAAAACCTGGTCTAAAGTCTGGTGCAATATTTTTTCTATGTTATTTAAAGAGCGCGTTGGTAATATGCGCCTATAGGTGGGTGCACAACGCGCATACACTTTGCTTATTACACACACACACAGGGATGCGCAGCAGCACACAAACATTTTTAAAAATGAAAAATTAAATTCCGCCATGTAAATAGCGAACCCGCCATGGCACGAGCACTACTGGCTTTTAAAGGGGATGGGAGATGAGACTCTGATTGGTTTATGGCACGTTATGCCCAAAACACACCCATTACTCATTAAGAGAATAAGGACAACCCTTTTAGACCATGCGTTTTTCCCGTCGTTAAACTAGCAAAAGTGGATTCAGACACTCCCTAGGGCTGTGCAATTGTCATGCGCATCTCGTTGGGTCAAGCTGACATGATTGATGGGTAAAGTAAAAACACCCTTCAGGTCATTCACAATTCAGATTGCTAGACATACTTCATTTACAGAGGTCATCTTACACATTTAACTTCTATGGTTGCATTTTTAGAATGGGAATATGTGTCATTTCAATCCGGGTTGGGTGTTTCGTTACAATATTTGATTTATATATATATGTATATATTTAAACTAGGGCTGTGCATTTAATCGCATGCGATTGTAATGCGCATCTCGTCAGTAAAGCCGGTTCCGTGATTAGTAGTAAATCTCCAACACCTGCTTTCAGATGGAGTGGCATTTACCTTAGTTCACTGACAAGCTAGGCAATATCGCGTTCATAATCGAATGCGATTCATCTGCGATTATGAACGCGATATTGCCTAATTGTCAGCCCTAATATATATAGATATATAATTTCTGGAGAAAAATGAGCAGACGTTGGATTACATAAAGCTTTCCAGAGCACATGTCGTCTGCCTGCGTTCGCACACGCTATCAAATGGAGTATACTTTGAAATGCTGCATGTTTGACTATACGCATATACTAGCATATGAATAAAAAACAAGCATACTTTGGGCTTGAGGCGATCCACTCCATGTCAACTGAAACTGCTTTAATTAGCCCACTTATATATATATTCATTCTTTCAACATTCTTCAAAAACATCATTCATTTCTGTAGAGGTCGACATTTTAAGAAGGATAACATGACTAAGTTCAGTTTTGAGAATGGAAACCAACCTGTTTGTGTGTCAGTATCTTCTTGCTTCACACTGAATGCTCTTTCAATCTTCATGTCTTCATTCTCCTCCTTAATAAATGCCATCTTTATAATATTCACGTGGATCTCAGTCGCTTCACCAGGAATTTTTCTGTGTTTGGAAACAGTGTCATATTTAAGATGAGAATACATAGTCACATACTAACTATTCATGTTAAAGTAATACTGTTTATTAGGGATGCACCGATGTATCGGCCTCCGATATTTATTGGCCGATTTTTGATTATTTTAAAGCCATCGGCATATCGGAAATAGCATGAAAAGGGCC